CCTTGAAAAAGCTAGCATGTGAGAGAGGCCTCTTTCTCTCTTCTTGCACTGGCACCGTGCCCTCCTGCCTTCCGGAGTGGTACAAATCAACAGGGAGCCCAGAGCAGGGAGTGGGGACCTGGGAGGGTGGCTCTGATCCCACATTGGATCATCAGTCCCGATTGACCAACAGTTGCCTCTATTTGGCAGGTAAACATTTGGCCTAAAAGCAATTTCAAAGGAAGGTTTCAAACTATCCAAGGGTATCCCGATTATTCAAGAGCTCTTGTGAAATTCCCAAAATGTTTAAGTTCACTTCCATTAAAAAAATAAAAACAAAAACAAAACCAGCTTATAGTATGTCTTGAGATAGTCTGTCATAATATCAAGCAAATGACAAGAGGCATTACTGTTCCTGAATCTGGCTGGAAACCACTGGTGTTAAAAAATCATAAAGGCAAAAAAAAAATCATAAAGACACTAGCTTGATGCTGAAAACTGAGAAGCAAACTCATGACCACTGTGAACCTGGGAACTCCCAACAATTTGGAAAATGACTAATATTTGGGAAAACAATTCAGCAAATGTCCAAAATGCCAAGGGGTACTGAACTGTGATCTCTATCCATCCTCCAGGTGGGAAAGAATAAAACAAAATCCTGAAACTTTTTGTTAAAGATTGAATTACAAAATCAGAGGAAGGAAGAAATGCAGCTGCCAGGACAGATTTGAATTTCAGTTAATCATCTGATTCCAGTATCATGCAATTTTCATCAAAAACAAGAATTCTCAGCAGCTGAGAAAGAACCAGAGAGAACATGAGGAAGAGGCCAAGAAAGGCAATGAGGGGAGGGAGCAGGAAAGCTAAGGAGGCTGTGCCCAGGAGAGGCCAGAGCCTGTGGGCTCCAGAGGAGGCAGCCCCTGGGGCTTGCTACCCTGCTGAGGGAGGGGTTCCTCTCCTCCCATGAGTCCTGCCTCACAATGGTCTCTCTCTCTCTCTCTCTCTCTCTCGCTTGCTCTCTCTCTCTCTCACAGCCCGCCCTCGCTAAAGCAAGGCTGGGCTTAAGTCTCAAGAGGGAACTGCCCTTCACCCAGGAAGAGGCCACCCTGTCAGTGGTGCCTGGCTTCTGTTTGCCAGGAATGTTGGTGGCGACAGGATGATCTCTGCACATTCTTTGACCAGGTCCCTACCTGCAGCCAAAGACATACCCTTCAAAGTGGCTGGGGCAAGGGCTGCAGCCAGAAGCATGTCTGGACTACTCCAGAGGCACCCCACTGGCTGGGTCCCCTGAGCACCAGGCCCCTGTGCAACTCCGAGGCTGTGGCTTGCCCAAAGTCACAAAACTAGGAAGTAGCATAGGCCCAAGTGGAGTGCAGGTCTCCCAACCTACAGCCCTTCCATCACATTTCTTTGGTGGCGCTGTAGCAGAGGGAGTAAAACCACAGGTAGAGCCAAACACTGCAGGAGGCAGAGTGATGAAGCCTATGAACCAAGAGACATGAGGCTCTTTGACCTGTCAGGGGCAGCTTCTTAAGGGCGTGGAAGGGAAAAAAACAAAAGCAAGCTTATACTCATAGGGAAACATAATCTGTGATTATAAATATTTCATGAGCGAAGAAAGTGGTACTGGCTGAGAGACTGGGGCGAGGAGGGTGGACAGCAAATTAGATCCCAGTTTGCAAAGTGATAGGGCAGCTGGAAAAGCAGCAAAGCTGAGGCTATTCTGGGCTGTGCGCTGGGAAGGCCTGCGTCACAGGCGGAGAGCAGGGTCCGGCCACTCGGCTTTGTGGAAACCACAGCCTTCCAGTGGTCAGCACAGAACACCTTGGGGAAGAGTGAAGAGCAGAGGAAGGGACAGCGAGGACAGTCATTTGAATGACTTGGGTAGGCCCCAGCGGCAGAGGGAATGCGGCAGAGCGGCAGGACCCTGCAAACTCGTGAAAGGATCCACACCACAAGCTGGCTGCTGACTAAGGGCACAGGAAGGAGTGAGTCTGACCCCAGAAGGCAAGTGACCTGTGAAGAGAAAGGGCAGCTCAGGAAAGAGCAAAGGCCCAGCCCCCGAGCAGGTGGTACCCGGCTGAGAATAACAGTTCTGCTTTTCCTTTGCCTCAGGACAGGGGTCTCTTTCCCCCAAAGCCTTTGGGAAGCAGCAGCCCAGAAAGCAGAGAAATTAAGAGCTTGCTGAGTACCAGCTGCTACAGTAGGAGACACTCAACACTGACAAAGCAGGACCCAGGCTGCGTGTGATCCCTCCTCCTTGGCCACGGTCAGCCACTGCAGCAGAGCATGTCAGCCACAGACTCTATCAGTCCTTCCACAGGGCCAGATGGAAAAGGACGTTAGCTCAAGTACCCAGGGGGACCCTGAATCAAGCTTTGTCGGAGGGGCCCTGGGGAGCGGTGCACGCCTCAACCAAGTAGATGGAAAACTACGAGCCCTCACCTCACTGCAGTCAAGACATAGCAGGCAACAGGCTCCAAGGTGTACCCACTGACTTCAGGAAACGCAAATTATCCTCTAGGCTCACAGCTAGAGAATCCATTCAAGGTGGGGAGGACCATCAATCACAAAATTAAGACCCCATAGTGCTGTGGGAAGACTCCACAGTTACAAGTCCCAGGATCTGACTTCCAGACCAGCTTTACTACGTAGGAGTTTTAAGACCCTGTGAAATCAAGTTACCTCTGAAGTTCAGTGTCCTCATCTAAACCATGGACCAATGCCTGCCAAACCTAAGGACTGTGAGGAATCCAAGGACAGACATACACATACTTTCAAAACAGATACTAAGTGCCATCCCAATTTAAGAGATCATTTATATCCAGCTACCTACCTGATATCTCTTGGATGTCTCAAAGGCATCCCCTTCCAGATGCCCCTAATTGCTCCCTACCTGCTACCCAGACCTCTCCTAGGGTACTGCCCCCTCACACCATCCAGGCATGGAAGCCAGAAACCCATGACCCATTCTTGGCCATCCCCACCATCTTAATGCACCACCAAGCCTAGTCAACTGTACTTCCTAAAGGCTTCTCCTTCCCTCCTTTACTACCCTCCTCACCCAACACATCATCATTTTCACAGGGCCTGCTGCAGAGCCTATGCTACCCATTTTGGATTCCCTCAGCCCCTGTCCACAGAGCAAATCTAAGCACATCTCCTCTCCCACCACCCCTACCCCACATGCTAAATACCCCACAACAGTACCCTCAACGTAAGCTGGAAAGGCAAGGAAAGCTGCCTGGGGCCTAAGAGGTCTCGCACAGCCTGGCCCTGCTCTTCTCCTACTCTCAGCCAACACCACACTCCGTCTCACTCTCCCTGCTCTGGCCACACTGGCTTTTTCAAGTCCCTGGTACTTATACCATTCACTCCTGCCACAGGGCTTTTGCACATGCTCTTCCCCCTGCCCGGAACATTTTTCCCTCCTCTCTAGCCTAACTAATGCCTACTCATTGATTTTTGCTAAGGTATAATAAAGCACATGATGTGCATAACTCAATAATTATTTATAGATCTATACCCATAATTCCTGCCTAGATAGGTTTCCCTCTTCCCCTTTCCTGTCCACATTCCTCCCCACCCCCATCACTATCCTGACTTCTATCACTTCTATTCATTTCTCAGAAAGCAGCTGATGCAACCCTTTCTCAGAGAAGCTGCCTCCAATCCCTCAGAAAAGTCTAACCCCTCTATCACAGGCACTTTCACACCTGAGAATTTGCATTTGAATTATGTGGTCTGTGTTGATTTCCCAAGGGACACCATAGGCTCCATGAGGGCAAAGACCATCCCTACTTGCACTCACTGCTGTTTCTCAGTGCTGGCACATGCATAGAAATGACAACAAAAAACAGCTAATACCTACTGAATGCTCATTATTGCCATGTACTCAGAGGTACTACCTCACTGAACTCTCACATCAATCCTACCAAGTAGGTGCCATTGTTATATCCCCATTTTACAGGTGAAGAAACTGAGGACCAGAGAAGTTAAACAACTTGCCCAAAGTCATTAGGTGGTAAGTGGCGGAGTCAGGATTCAAACCCAGGCAGTCTGGCTACAGAGCCTGTGTTCTTTATTTTATTTATATTTTAAATGTTTATATTGAGATAGAGCAAGCGCACCTGTGCCCACAAGCACAGGGAGGGGCAGAGAGAGGGAGAGAGAGAATCCCAAGCAGGCTTTGCACTCTCAGCACAAAGCCCAACACTGGGCTCAATCTCACAAACCGTGAAATCACGACCTGAAATCAAGAGTCGGACATTTAATCGACTGAGCCACCCCGGCGCCCTGGAGCCTGTGTTCTTGATCATTGGGCTACTCTGCCTCTCAGAGGCCACAGGAATATACTACAAGCATGTGCTCAGGATAACTTGAGTGAATGGACTTACAAACGAGTTGATGAGATTTCGTTAAGGGAACTAAAGGAGCCCCCCCAAATCTCCCTGAGAAGATCAACAAACAAATGGGACCCACCTACATAGGCCCAAGATTAGGTCATCTGCAAAACGTAAGGGCTCCATTCCCCCAGCAGTCAAGGGTAGAAGGTTTCTACTGAACACAGAGGAGTGCTTCTGCTCCCTAGCAGAGGGTACTCCACAGCAGAGAGAGGATTACCGTCTAGGTTCCATCGAAGCCTGAAGGCAATATTCCACTAGATTAAACAAGTCCCTCTGCTCTTTTTCATGCTAACCCTGTAATCTCCATAACCATTTAACATCTCAAACCCTCTGACACACAAAAAAATTGCTGGCTGGCAAAAAAATAAAACAAAATAAAATCTTGCCTGGTTAGAAAGTGACAAAGTCCAAGTGCACACGTATGAATTGGCATTTGGTTTGTACATCCATTCTCCAGAGCTTGACAATCCTGGATGGGCTCATAGGCTACTTCCTGCAAAGACCGCCATCTTGTGTGGCCAGACAAGGGTTGGCCACCTTTTAACTGCTTTGGTGCCATTTACCTCATGACTACATCCCAGAAAGCTCAGGAAGGAACACACAGGAAAAGGTTTATTTTGTCACAGGACACTGTTCCCTGGCATGAGGCCCCGAGTCCCCTCCCATGAGTCCCAGTGCAGCCAGTGGCCTGGCCACTGCTCACACAAAGTTCTGAGCAATGGCCAGCACTTTGGAAAATTCACCTTCCCTCTGGCGCAGGCTGGTGGGGATGGGTGTCTTAATTCGGGTCCCCACAGGGTTCCCATTGTCCTCAATGAGGACCACATTGTTAGAGTCAAACCTGGGGGTCATCCGGGGACCAGGCATGCGATGCCCCACAATGAGTGCCTTTTTCTTCTGTCCCTTGATGGCCAGCAGTATCCGGTCACCCACCTTGCCCACCCCACTCTTGTTATAGACGTGGATGCAACGAGGAGGGCGATGGTATGGGGTGTTCCCCAGGGCACTGTTGTCCACCACACGTACGCGTGTCATCTTCTGAATTGCATCGAGGCTCCCAGTGGTGCTAGGGAAAGAGAAAAAATGTCTGAAGTCTGTATCTTTCCTGGCCAGGGTGCAGAGGCCTCAGAGGGCAAGGCCTGGGAGAGATCAAACGTTAGCAACAACATGCTGAACAGAGCAAAACCCAGGGCCCTGACGGAAAGTCGGGTTCTTGTGAAGACTTCTCTGTGACCAAGACAGTTTCCTCACGGTCAAAAGCTTCTGCTGCCAGGTCAACATCTCACCTTGGAGGGGTTTTAAGGAGAACCCGACTCTCTGTTACTCTCTGTTACAACGATCTTCATGGCCACCTAACTGAAAGCCTTTAGTATTCAAAAGAACTCTGAGGATTAAGGGAATATCTTATGGGCCAGGCCTCACCCATTACCTAGCCTGCAAAACCTGCTCCCCCACAATACACCGATTCCCAAACTTCCCATCTGTGTGTTGCTGGGAACTAGACAACATGAGTAGGTTTGCTAAGGGGGTCCCCTGAATATATAATATAGGAGAATATATAATATAATATAGGAGAAACCAGAAATAAGTCAAGGTAACAATCTTTTGTCTCAATGCATTTGCCCCACTAGACTGGAATTTGTTTTAAAGAATACCTATTAAAGGCAGACAAACTATTATTAAGCAGTCTGATAACAGGTGGATTTCTATTTTCCTGAAGTGCTGGCATTGTCCCGGGTAATCCTAGGCTCTCCCCTCGAATTCCACATGCCTGCTCCAGGTAATCTCATTGGTTCCCTCTGCTTCCAACTAGTAAATTTCATCTCCGGCCCCACTTCTCGCCTGTACTCTAGCCCTTCATTCACTCCAAGCTCCCCGCAACATGTCCTACTGATACTGCAGGCTCAAT